AATACAAACCCGGTAAATTGCCTACAAAAGATTCAGCAGGGAAATCTAAGCCACTTGAAGGTCAGTAAAATCTTACTACTTAAATTCTTACCAAATGTAACCTCTCAACATTGTGTTCTTTAGTGAAAGTCCTAAAAAGACAGAGCTCCTTTCAATTGCCTGAAAATCCTGCTGATAATTAGACCTTTAGCATTTCCAAGAGCTTATTTATAGGAGAAAGAAGGTCTGTTGTTCCCTCTCAATTATAACTAAAATTTTCTAATGGCTGCAAAAGTCACTTTCTATTTATGGCTTCTGTTTTTCTTTTGCCTTGCACAGTCCCAGTCTGGAAGAGTCAAGTAATTTACTGCTTCAGGTATTCATTTTAGTAACCTGGTATTTTAAATCTGTAACAGAAGAAACAAATCAACTTGAGTGAATACTAACAAGGTTGAGAAATGGTTTTACTTCAGTTACTGATTTCAAGTGCTTCTTTACTCATGCTTCAAATGCCAGTGCAGTGCATTATCTGACATCCCTGCAACCACACTTTTAAAAGTACTAGCAGGACAGATTATTTTTCTAGATAATAAAAAAAAAAAAAAATCGCATGTCCACATGAAGCCTCAGAGGAAAGGGAGGGATAGTTATTATAAATTAGAAACGAAGGCAACTCAACCCCTGCCCAAAGCAGTCAGCCAACCTCTCACAAAACCTCCTACTTGGTTGCAAATCATAGCGAGACCACAAGAGGGAAGCACGACACAAGAATTCACGTTTCGTGCCAAAATTGAGATCACTGCACACAGCAGCTAAAGGAGGACACAACACATTTTAACACCATATTAGCAAGCACTGGGCTTAATCCAGTCTTAAATTAACATTGAGAGGGTACCACTAACTAATACTGGTTTGTGTCTACCCTTGTTTTGCGATGGCCTAGCTATTCTCAGATGACATGGGGAGAAAAGGAGGATTACTCTTCTTTACAGACAAATTATTTTTCTTCCCCTTTTTCTAGATAAGGAAACTAAGACAGAATGTGGTAGGCTGATATGCCAAGGTGATAGATATTTCTTCCATCTCCCTTCAGCTTTTGGATGGTTTAAGCAAAAATCTGGACTATACAAGGTATAAAACAATAAAAGTTGAGGCCATCCATAACCTCTCAAAATCTCCAGAATAAGCTTTCCAACACTTTCCATTCCTTTCACCTGTTGGCTCTCAATCTGATGGTCCATACAGGACAACCTTCATCTGCAGCAGTCCCATGTGTGAAAAGCTTACTCCAATGTCTTTCAGAAAAAGTCATTGTAGCTTTCAGTGGCTTGATATGTTGAAACTGAGATAGGAATAAAACGTTTTTGGAAAGCAATCACAGCCTCTCCACTTTTATACTGACTTTCTTTTTTTGGCTCTATATGTAAGATTAACTGTCTAAGCAAGGGTTCTTTAAAAAGAAAAAAAAAAAAAGGAAAAGGTATCTGGCAGAGAGGTCTTCTTTCTCCAGCAAACAAGAGTCCCTCTGGAGTCTTTAACCCCACAGAGCAGCCTGCAGGCCCCAGGGAATGTAACTAGCCAGCCTGAGAGATGATGAGGACTGCCAGGGTGACAAACCCTAGTCTGAAAGGTCAGCAGGAATTTGGTTTGCTTCTCACAGGCCAAAGAAGCTCCAAAGAAACAAAGCTTCTATACCAGAGCCAGAATTACAGCCTATCTTACACAAAGCAACTAGTTGCACAGGGAAAGGTTGGACATGAAAAGCCTCCCACAATTCTCTTGTCAGAGAACACAGTCCATTTGTTAAATATCACAAATTGTATTTATAGTCAAGATTCACTCAGCTTTCCCAGCCTTTGAATCATGCCCTGCTTCCTTTCTATTATCACACAATTTTCCCCCTGTACGGGTTTCATGACCATATTGGCTCTTAACTTCCTCTCAGAATTTCATTTCACAAGCCCTTTGTCAGCTCTGGGAACCTTTTCTGAATTTCTGAGCTACTGAGAAGTGACTTTTACACTTTTCTCAAGGGTTTCACAGGTGGGTTTGGAAAGGACAACATCTTGTCCACTGAGGTCAATAGCAAAATTAAGCTGCACATTCTCTAGCTCTGCTGTTTGATGATCAGTAGAATCATAGAATGGCTTGGGTTAGAAGGGACCTTTAAGATGATCTAGTTCTAATTACCCTGCTGTAGGCAAGGACACCTTTTACTAGGCCAGGTTGCTCTGAGCTCCAACCTGGCCTTGAACACTGCCAGGGATGGGGCATCTACAGCTTCTCTGGGCAACCTGATCCAGTGCCTCACCACACTCACAGTACAGAATTTCCTCCTCATATCTATTCTAAACATACTCTCCTTCAGTTTAAATTAATTTCCCCTTGTCCTGTCACTACATGCTCTTGTAAATAGTCTCCTCCATCTTTGTTGTAGTCTCCCTTCAGGTGTTGGCAGGCAGCAATTGAGTCACCCAGAGCCTTCTCGTTTTCCAGCTGTACAAATCAAATTCTCTCAACATTTCCTTCATCCCATCTTGGTGGCCCTCCTCTGGACTCACTCCAACAGGTCCTGTCCCTCCTGTGCTGGGGACCCCAGAACTGTGTGCACTACTCAAGGTGGGGTCTCACCACAGCAAAGTAGAGGGGCAGAATCACCTCTCTCACCCTGCTGGTCACGCTGCCACAGATGCACCCCAGGACACAGTTGGTTTTCTGGGCTGCAAGTGCACATTGCCAGGTCATGTCCAGCCTCTCGTTCATCAGCACCCCAAGTCCTTCTCAGCAGTGCTGGAACCCAGTACAAGCAGGCTGATCCTTCCATCAGCTTCAGGCTCAGACCCACAGCTTCAGCTGTATATTTAAAGAGTTTGGCTTTTGGAAATAGTATATACTGAGTTTTACAATATTTTTAAGAGCCAGTGAAAATAGATATGTTTACAATGTCTATTGCTGACTGCTTACAGCTTTTCTCTTCCTACTTTGTCCTGTGGCAGCTGTTGTTAAAAACAAAGTGCCTGAGTGAGCCAGCCCACACATACACATCATGTTTCCTCCTTGTCTCCCCTCTAGCAAGTGCTTCCTCCCTCCAACACAGATGAAGTTCAGCCCTTTATCTTCCTCAGCTTAGACCACTGACCTTCTACCCCAAAAGGCATCCTGACCATCAGGGTGAGTCTGCCCTCCACAAAAGAGCCCCAACACTGAAGGGTTTTTTTTGCATCAAAGGACAGACTCAGCTCAGTCCACATAACTGGCATGGAAAGGTGCCAAATGCCTAAAACTACGTTTTATATGCTGCAAGTAATATGCAGCACTTCTCATCTGGTATCACTCCCCAGAATAGGCCATGGCATGTGACCTTGTGACTACAGAAGTAGAAGGTAAATCAGGAATGAGTGGGCAGTATTTCTCAGAAAAAAAAAAAAAAAAAAAGAGACCAATGTAATGATCAATCTTAATGCAATCATGGAAAGGTACTTTCTTCCCAGCACATAAAAAAATCACTGAGTTCTTTGCCACAGGATATTTATTATAAGGGTCAAAAGTATTCATGGATTTAAATGGCACAAGGCTACTCGTTGGAGGGAAGAATCAGTAGTTCATGAGAGGTCTGGATGCAGTGCTTGGCTCAGGTGAGCCTTTAAACCACTGCTCGTGAGAGTCTGGAAATGGCAGCCTGGGTCACAGTCACCCTCAGTACATCCAGTTCCCTGAACACCTCCTGCCAGCGCTTGGAGGCACCATCCTCAGTGAGACAGGTTATTGGTCTTGTCACATACTGCTGTACTGTCCTCACTTCTCATTTGCTGACACCCAGGCAGACTTTCCTCCCCTGGCTCTCCATACACTGAACTGCAGCCTCTCCTTCCCTTATGGGCTGCAGGCACAGACACAACCGGCTGCCAGTAACACGTGAGATCCTGGCTGAGCCAAGACACTGTGGCACTGCTTCCCACTGCATGGCAAGGCTTACTGCCAACAAGGGCAGGGAACAGGGGGAGAGGCCTTGGAAGGCTGCCTGTATTCAGTGTTGCCATTTGGTGCAGGTGAGTTGTGTCCTCCGCCTGCATCTGCTGGGGGAAGGTGGGCAGGAAAAGAGAGAGAGCAAATCTCTTCTTGGGATTTGACTCAAAACTAAGAAGTAAAAAAAAATAAGAAAATCGACTTTAGTTGTGCCTCAAATTTCCTGCATAATGCAAAGAAACATTGTATGATACCTATGGAAGGAGATAACATTTCTTTCTGACTAATTGCTGCCTTGCACCTTTGGACTGTAAGCTGCACAGTGAGAGACTCTCTGTCACAACAGTAAAAGTGTTTGTACAGTACTACACAAGAATCTGTGTAATAGGGTCTTGATCTCACTTGGAGAAATCTCTGCACTACTGTAATAAATGCAATGATTTTGCCTCTTGCAGATGCCCTGTGTGTGACTTCTTCAAAATAAAGCATCAGAGTAACTGCAAAACTAGTTTGTTATATCAACATACAAATGCCATCTGTCAAAAACGGAAGGCAAGAATTCTGCCATATTAAGTGCCAAGGTCTATGTTAAGAAATATTTCAACATATTTACATTCCTCCCATTCTGAAAGCAACTACATACCTTGAACACAGAGTCACTAGGAAGACAATCACTAGGAACAATTAATAAACACCTACTGCCTCCCCTGGCAATTTGTCTGGGTGTTCACAAGTTTCCCAACAGAGAAAGATTGGCTTATTTATCTGTTTTATGGCTAATAAGGTTTAAAGCGTAGGAGTAGAAATTGGTGTTGTAGAATTCTCATGTTGTGACAGCCTCTTTGAAAGGGAAAGTTAATAGTTTTTCTTAATGATGGTCAGATTCATCATCTCTTCTCTGGAAATTTATCCCATGGCTACTGTGCCTTCAATGTGAAATAGAAAGAAATGAGTAGGAAAAAGCCCTGTGAACTTTACTTTCTGACTGTGTATCGTTGTATTTATTGCACTGAGAGAAATGTATCATGTTGTTTTATTTTCTGTTTTTTTGGAAGGGGATGAAGGTGAAAAAGGAGACAGAGGAGAAGTAGGCAAACAAGGAAAGGTTGGACCAAAAGGACCAAAAGGTATTTATAACATTTTGTTGGCTATTACTGGTATATGAATATCATTATACACAACTGTACTGGTGCATATGATCAGTGATGTTTAATGCTTTTCATTCCTGTTGCACCAGTGGATTTCACAATCCTGTCAAACATTAATCAGAGAACCTAACAATACTAAGAGAGCTTGGTGCAATTCCTACCGATACCATATATGGCTGTCATGAGTGTGAGTCAGAAGACCCAGATCATATGCATAATTGGAAAGATTACTGATCCTTAATCAAACAATCCTTTAGCTGGAAATGATTTTTGAAAGTTATTTCCTAGTAATACATCAGGATGCCCAATAAAATTGGGTCTCAGTTGTCTGTATTTTGCAGAAGAGCAAACAAAGCCAAACACTGAAAACAGAAGTTCCTTTGATCAAAGAGCATCTGAGCTGAGAACAAAGAGTCACAGATGTTTCAGGACTCAACTCAATTAAACATATCCCATATCCACAGTGTGACCTGTGGAGGGCATTAGGAGGCACCAAACGTGATAGTGTCAGCCTTGTTTGCATACTCAAAAGCTTAATTTATCTTTAGAGTTCGATGATAATGCATATGCATGGTCTTTCTTCCTTGATAGTGGTATAAGATTAATCAGGAAAGTTTTTACCTTTACAGAACCTTTTAAATCACCCTGCTATTACTGATACAATAAAAAACTTTTCCCATTTTTAAATGCATTCTTATGATTTTGATTCTTACCTTAAAATGAACATCAGGTAAGATGCGAGGGAATCAGCTAAACAACCATTAACAAAGCATCTTACTGATGTTAAATTCAGTGTGCAAACTGAGATTCCTTAGACTGGTCTGTCATCATTAGACAGCTATTTTAGAATTTGAACTACTAATCAATTAAAAAGTACTTTAATAAAGATTTTAAAAAATCTTTATTTTGGTGCTCTGAAGACAGAGAAAGCACATACAGCAAAACTAGCTCCCTACTGGAAATCCAGCTTTGAGAAGGATTCCCAGCAAAGCTGCAAGGCCTTTACCTCAAGAAAGAAGGAAAGACTTTTGTCTGGGGTAGAGAAAAATGAAAACAAATAAAGCTGCTGGCAGCCTCTTTTGACTGTGAAGTAAAATCAATATTTGAATATTCACTAGCAGTTTTGGTTTGTATTTTCTGTAAGAAAACCTGGTATTTCTGGGCATTTGAACAGGCAGTTCTACTAAGGTGCCTTGCAATGTCCTCCTGTTGTATCCTACAGCAGCAGAGATCTGTGCTGTACTCCTCCAAACGTCCTCAGGGCTGCACTCATTCTGACTTTGCCACACATGCAGGCTGGCCACACTCAGGAAAAAGAGCAGCAGTAGATGCCTAAACAGTGCCTTGGAAAAGAAATTAAAGAAACCATTCATATTAATTTCCTTTTCATTTCTTCTCTTAGGAAACAAAGGACCAGTGGGGGATGCTGGTGACCAGGGAATGCTTGGGAAAATTGGCCCTATTGGTGGCAAGGGTAAGCTCTGGTCTGGGAGTTTTCTTGGTTTTTTCCCTCAAGATAAATATGTGTTTTGTGAGAGTTCCAGAGATGGAGTAATATCAGATAATGGCTGTGACCAATGCTCTCCAAATAAAGTTATGCATAAAAATTGGTGATGACAGCTAACTGAGATATTCCTGTTTTATTTCCCACATGCACTATTATCTGACCTACTTGGATAAAATAATTTGGTTTATGAGTTAAAAAAAAAATTTTCTTTGATGGATCTAGAAGGTGTCTCTGCTCATTGCAAGAGGATTGGACTAGATGATCTCTAAAGGTCCTCTCCAGCCCAAATTATTCTGTGATTCTACAGTAAAAGAGGAAAGAAGAAATCCAGGCCTTGTGAGGTAAATCCTCTGAATGTCCTAAAAGAGAAAGACAAATTTGTGCCTCTGATTTGGACACTGAAGACCTAAGTTAATGTTCTGCTGCTGTTCAGGATGCCACACCTGGTGACCTGCACTGTTCTGGGTCATGTGAGCACAGGACAGCTTGGTAAGGAAGGGATTTAGGAGTTTTAAGAAGACACTCACATAAGCAGGGATGACAACAGCTTGCAAATCAAGGCAGACTCCAAGTCTGCCTGGACAATAATTTCATGAAATTATGCTCTATTTATCTTAAGAAGAAGCTTGGGCATTTCTTTCTGGTATTTCTAAAGAGCTACTTAAGAGGGAATATCAATTCTGCCACAAGGAGACCTGCTTTGAAAGCTGATCAGGGACTCCATCACCCCCAGTGGAACTCTGTGGTCTCTAACCAGTGCATCAACTCAGGTATGATGGTGAGTAGGTGGAACAATCTCTTCAGGGAGCTTCTCAAACCAGAGTTTTTAATAAACCTTTGATGGCCTCTAGCCAGCCTTAGCATCAGAGAAGAAAAGAATTTTTTCTGAGGAACTGATTTTCAGAAGTATCTAGACAACTGAAAACGCAGAGAGTTTCTCCTAAGATGTCTTCAATCATCAAGGAAACAAAAAATAAAGTATCTCACAAATTGCCTTTCTTTATCTGAAAATAAACCAATGCTCTGAGCCTTTAAATTAAGCTTTCTCAATCTGAATGTATAATTTATTTTGCCCTTACAGTTTTCTCATCTTCTTTATTTGCAGAAGCAAAGGTCACTAAGTCACTGTTTAAATCTACAATTAAACATTCTAGTTCTTAAGTCAGCAACCCTGAAATTCCATCTTGCAAGTATGCAGTGTCAAGCAATGCTTATTAAAATGACAGCCAACATGTAAATTCTTTTAAAAATCACAACCATATAAAGTAAAAAGTTCATCAAAACATGACCATCAATAAGGCAGAGCAAGCAGTACTTTTTCACTTCTAAAGCTTTAATTCATAAAAGAAGAGCTGACATGAATTCCAGATAAAGTCCAGCTGCTCCTGATCCAAATTACAGCTGAGATCTTCTTAAAAGCTAGGCACCTCCACTTATATAGTAGCAGAGCATTGTAAATCATTTTTATGATTTACAAAAGAAGAGGAAATCAGTTGGATGAAAATAATTCACATTTCCATAAACTGCAACCAAAGTTAAATGCTGCTCCTTACTGACCTCCCTCTGTGCAGGTGCAGGTGCCAACTGCTGCCCACACACACAGTCCATTGCACACATGAATTCAGTGGCTTAGTTCACATCAGCCTCGTCTGGTGCCTCAGCCCATCATAGAGCTACTGCACCCAGGGAAGGGCTCTGTCCTGCAGCCAGTGAGAGAACACAGATCTCACTTCTCCAAGATTTCTGGAGTGCTTTCAGCCTCTCAGGATCATTTTGCAGTTTATATTTAAAGTAAGTAGTACCAGGAACCAGCAGCACACAAGATGCCTGCGTTATCTGCAAGTTAGCTATTAAAGGGTTCTCATTTCCATACACCAGAATTAATCATGGTTTGTTTAACTTGGCATGTCTTCCAGTACAGTACATCAGAGCTTCCTATCAGAAGCACGCTGTTAACATATTATTAAACAGGTTTTCGAATATATTCCCCTGACATGTGCACTGTCTGAGATCTGAGAATATATTTTCCTCTTTATTCAGGTGACAAAGGAGCCAAGGGCTTATCAGGGGTTCCTGGAAAAAAAGGAAAAGCAGGTATGCTATGCATCCTTCTCTGCAGAATGGTCAAGTCTGCTGGATTTTTGATTTCAAGTGTTGATTTATCTGGAGTTTCAGGACGTTTTGAGGCCCATGGGAAAATATGAGAATAAACAGGAAGAGAATGAAAATGCTTTGTTGAGCAAAATGAAGACTAGGGTAGGGACATGGCTGATGCCTATGAATACACCAACAAATATAAAGAGCCAACCAAATTAAGGGGCGATGTTTGTCATCACAAAAACTAACACAGAGACAGGCCAGCAGTTTGCATTTATACTGGATTCTAGAAGAAATTTTCTTAATACCAAAGGAATTAAGTTTATTAACAGTTTCCTAATAGGACTATGGGGATGAAAAAATAGGATAGAGCATAATCTGTTGTCAAATGAATGCAATGCATTTGCCTACAGGAGGAGAATTTGAGTCTGATGAGTTAGAAAGTTCTTCTGAGTCCTAATAACTTTGAATGGTTACCCACCTTGAACTTACACTTGTGTTCATTTTTAAGAGATCTCATATGCAATGTCAGTTTGATTCATAATGGGAAACCATTAATAACTTATTTTCTTTTGAGAATAACAGAAGAACAAACAAAACATATACCATGCCAAATTTCAGTTTACAAAAAAACCCCAAACAACCCAACTCTCAAAAAAACAATATAACTGAGATTTCAGTTCTTGAAAGCTATTGATTGAGTTGGTATTGACTTACTGCTGTACCACAGCTGCATGTAGCAATTCACTAACATAGTCCTTCTACCAAAGTTTTACCAATCCCACCTCTATGCATACTCACAAAACTCCTTCACTGAGAAAGCAGCATTTTCATGGGTGCTGTTGCTTCTGTTGGAAGGCTGGGGAACCTGTGCCAATTACAGATACAAAGGTAGATCTTTGGTATTCAGATGTAAGGCTGTAGTGATCCTCATGATAAGCCACATCTCTGAAGCTAGATGGAAACAATAATGAGGGGGCAGAGAATGTGTAAATCTCACACTGATATGGGTCTAAAGAAGATGGCAAACTCTTCTATCTGCATTTTTAAAAGCAGGGATTCTTAAGCCAGTTAGCAAGGGATTATACAGAGCCAAAATATTTAGTGCTTTGATTAACAGAAGTACAACCAGTGGGTCAAGGTGAGACTGGCTGTCCACAAGTGGAGCCTTGGTCTTCAGAAGCTTTGGAAGTGGGATATAGGTGACTCTCCATGCACACACACAAATGCTTCTAAACAGATAAATCGTCTACCCTTTGTATTGTATCAGGCACGGTGTGTGACTGCGGAAGATACCGCAGATTTGTTGGACAACTGAATATCAATGTTGCTCGTCTTAATACATCCATCAAGTTTGTAAAGAATGGTAAGGATCTTTATGTATTTGATGAGGCTTTATTTGGCTCCAATAACAGTTACCATTGCTATTCTTCTACCATTGCCTCTCTATGGCAGAATCCACAGATGACCCAATCTGCTCCAAGGAGGCAGGAAAAGCAACAGGAACCTCTTGATCTTTCTGCTGCCCAGGAAGGCTGCAGACCACTGTATTCCTAGTGCTCCCCTCAGTGCAAGCATCATTTTCCTGTAACAGGGGACCAACACTCAAAGACATGGGTTATAAGAAGCCACATTTGCAGGCAGTGCTGTCAGGTGGACAGTGCAAACTGCCCCACTGAAAGGAAAGTTTCCTAGAATATCAGAGATTTTGAGACAGTTCCACCACTGCTTCCAGGACTAGGGCTGCATCAGTAAATTAAATGCGTTTGAGACTGTTCTCTGTCACTGCAGGCATCCAGCACAGAAGTCAGCTGTATTATAAATCCTACAAAACTGAACAACAAAATCTCAAGGAGTGTCTCTCTACCAACCCCTAAGTGGGGCCTGGGGCAACTCCTGAATTGTCTGGGAGAGTGTTAATTGTCCCAGGCCAAACACTGCTCAGGACCATTCCAGCAGTCCATCAGCAGAGACTACCAGCTTCCAGCTGTCCAGGCATGCCTCTTGTCACTGCTTAATTCACTAGGTTATACACTGACTGAGAGGTCTGCCTTTTAAAGCTGCTGAGCAGCCACAATTTTCTTACTAGTCAATGCCACATAGTGGTATCTACAGCAGATCTGAATATCAGGCTGTATTTAAAATGTCTTTTTTTAGCAGTTACATTCATTTTCCTCTACATGGAAAGGGCCTGAAAAGCTATCTATACCCCTATGTTTCTATCCCTGGGCACTCTTTCACCATTTATATTCAAACACATACAGTGGGGGTGATCCAGAGATAGACATTGCTATTTGACCATTTAGCATGCCTTAATTTGGCTAGTACTAGATACTGCTGAAGTAAAAATTTAATGTCACAGGAAACACACCAAACAGGACTGAATAGTTCTTGTCCTAATGTGTGCAAGGTGCTTGTCAGTCCCATTAGTTGCATTGCTCTCCAATCGTGTCCTTACTGTTCATCACAAATTCAGGGCTGGGAATACTCTTCCTCTTTCCTTTTTATTAATTCTAATGTAAAAATCATCTCACTGTCATGATGGAATAGAAGCACCTTCAGATCATCTATTGACATGCCATTAAGTAATTTTTCTTCTCCTTTAAAGTAATAGCAGGTATCAGGGAGACAGACGAGAAATTCTATTATATCGTGAAAGAAGAGAAGAATTACAGAGAAGCCTTGATCCATTGCAGGGACAGAGGAGGAACACTGGCCATGCCTAAAGACGAGACAACCAATGCCCTGATTGCCGACTACATCTCTAGCAGTGGCCTCTTCCGAGCCTTCATTGGGCTGAATGACATGGAAAAAGAAGGACAGTTTGTGTATGCAGACAACAGCCCACTGCAGAACTACAGTAATTGGAAGCAAGGGGAGCCTCATGACCCAGCTGGCCGCGAGGACTGTGTGGAAATGCTCAGCACAGGAGAGTGGAACGACTCTGAGTGCCAAGTCACCATCTACTTTGTATGTGAATTCCTCAAGAAGAGGAAATAAAAGTGCCAGAGAATGTGCCTGGCATCTGCTGTATATACAATAAACCATCCTCATTCATCTGCTGTAGGGAGAGCAAACCAGGAGTAGTAAACTAGGGATAGGACTTAATCCAGCCTTCACATCATCAGGTTAAGCAAGAGTAGCTACTGTTTAGTCATCAGTGATGATAAAGTCAGCAAAGGTCTGCAGAGGGCATCCAGCCAGTTGTGGATTTTTATTTCATTTATACATGCATTTTAGGATGGGCATTTCTTTGTGTAATTTAGGGGTAAATTTAGAGCTTGCAGAGGTGAATATAATTTCACCAATGCCAGAAATAGTAGGTTCATTGGTATATTAATTACTGATGTGATTTGCAAAGTCCACAAAGTGGAAAAAAAGTGAAAGAGTGTGATTTTCACTAATCTCTGACCTGTGCAGGAAGTCCCAGTAATCTCCCTGGTGACTTCAGAGCTGGGAGAACAGATTTACAGCTTCTCTAGAAAAAATTCTTTGTTTGTTAGAATCATAGAGTAATCTGAGGTGGAACAGATCTCTGGAGGTAATCTGGTTGAATCATCCATGCAAAGCAAGGCCAACTTCAAACTCAGAAGTTGGAATACTCCCTTAATTTGGCTGTGCAATTATATTGCCTGATATGCATTTATCTGGACTTCTGCAAAGCCTTTGACATGGATGCCCACAACATCCTTCGGTTTAAATTGGAGAGAGATGGATTTGCTGGGTGAACTATTAGATGAATAAAGAATTGGTTGGACTGTCACATCCAGATGTTAGTGGTCGATAGCTTAGAATTCTGATGGTCATCAAAGACAAATGTTGTGCGTGTCCCACAGGGGTCCGTTTTGGGACCAGTGTTATTTAATAGCTTCATTAATCACAGGGACAAAAGGATTGAGTGCACCCTCAGCAAATTTGCAGATGACACCAAGCTGAGTGGTGCAGTTGACAGACCTGAAGGACAGGATGCCATCCAGAGGGGCCTGGACAAATTCGAGAAGTGGGCTCATGGGAATCTTATGAGGTTTAACAAGACCAGGTGCAAGGTGCTGCACCTGGGTCAGGGCAACCCCCAGTATAAAAACAGGCTGGGGATGAACAGATTGAGAGTAGCTCTGCTGAGCAGGACTTGGGGGTGGTGGACGAGAGGCTGGACATGAGCAGGCAAGGTGCACTCACAGCCCAGAAAGCCAATCATGTCCTGGGCTGCATCCAAAGCAGCGTGGGCAGCAGAGCGAGAGAGAGGATTCTGCCCCTCTACTCCACTCCTGTGAGGTTGCATCTGCAGTGCTGCATCCAGCTCTGGGGTCCCCAGCACAGAAGGGACATAGACCAGAGGAGGGTCACCAAGATGATCAGAGGGATGGAGCACCTCTCCAATGAGGAACGATTGAGAGAATTGGGTTTGTTCAGGCTGAAAAAGAGAAGGTTGTGGGTGACCTAACTGTGGTCTTCCAGTACCTGAAAAGGGAGCCTACAAGAAACTTGGAGAGAGACTTCTTGCAAGGGCAGGAAGTGACAGGATAAGAGGGAATAAGTTTAGACTGAAGGAGAGTAGGTTTATATTAGATATCAGGAAGAAATTCTGTAAGATATCAGAAACAACCACTGTGAAGGTGGTGAGGCACTGGATCAGGTTGCCAAAGAACTTGTGGATGCCCCATCCCTGGAAGTATTCAAGGCCAGGTTGTATGGAGTTCTGAGCAATTTGGTCTAATGAAAGCTGTTCCTGCCTATGGCATGGGAGTTGGAACTATATCTTTGAGGTCACTTCCAACCCAAGCCATTCTATGGTTTTACAAAGGAGAGGTCTTGCTTATCTCTGCTTCTAACTCTATCTTCCATCACTCTGGTCTGAGGTGTGAGGAATTAATGGTACTTCTGCATACGAGCCTGCAAAGCTTGTAGGAAACCTGAGAATAGGTGGAGAACTCCTAGCCTCTGAAATCTCCCAAAATCTATGAAGAACATAGAAAAATAAATCTAGAACAAAGAGAACAATTCCTGTAGGCTGTAAACAGGCACATGTAGTATAAGCTACACCTTGTGCATTGCTGGTTTAATGAGTGATTCTAGAAACATATTAACTGCCTAACTCAGAAGGCAGTGACATATAATGTCTAATGCTAAAATCACCCATGCCTTTGCAACACAGGCCACAGCTATGGAACAGGCTTCATGCCCCAAGAATTCAGGTGTGGATGAGCTACTAAGTCATGCACTTCAGAGACACTCCCCAAAAATGATGAGCAGTGAACATGAAGGCTCTGTTGTCAGTGCCTGGCTGTTCACACCTGCATATCAGAATGCCCACAATGGATTACAGTTTCATGTCTTCGAGAATATAGACAGAACTTTTTTCTTCAGACACAGCAATGACTTTGCCTTCAGAAGTGAGCCTGTTCTTAATCATGGTTCGCCTTTCCTCACAGCAGATGTCAAGAGAAATCCCACAGTCATTGCAATGAAAGTTTTCTTTCCCACTTGACACTAAAAATTAAGGAATGATATCTGGAAGCTAAGGAGAATGCTAGACACTAGGCACCATGCAGCAATGTACCCTGTAGGTCACTCTGAGCACCAGCAGCACACAGTCTTCCTCTGGGTATATGAAGAGGTGGACATGCCAGCAGCTAGGAATGCAGAGGATCAGCTCCAAGTCTCCTACTACTGCAAAGGCAAACAGACAATAGTCATACTTCCTCAACCTCACCCTCAACGTGAAAATCCTCCAAACCATTTAGCTGGTTGTTAGTTTGACTCCAGGTTCACCTCTGAGCAATGACCAATGCAGGAAGATCCCAGAAGACTCTGTGACTCAGAACCACTCTTGTAATCCAGTTTTTCTGACACTTGTTCCTCCAGAAAACCACTTGTTGCTACCAGCAGTAAATTATCTGTGTTGCTACACGCCCTCCAGAAAACTATTCAATGTTTTCATTGCTCCCCTACTGTGCTATGAGAGTATTTGGGCAAAGACGTTCACTTACCATAACTCAACTGAACTGTTCAGCCTCTGAGAACTGATTCCCCAAAATTAAGCAGAATTACACTTTTTAGGATCTATACTAATAAACTCATTAAGCTTAATATTTTTGGTTTAGAATCATTAATGGGTAATGATAAAGAGTTACCGGCTAATTCAAGGCTAAGTTTCTTGAGTAAAAGTAATGCCTTTTAAAAGTTCAAGCCCAGGGCTGCTGGCCACACTCATGGCAGATCAGTTCTTAGCAGTCATGCAGAAGTGGCATAATAACATCCCTGTGGGTAGGCACAACTCTTTCTCTTCATCTCATCTTCTGACCCAAAAAGCCACCAAAACCTGCTTGCCAGACTGAAGGCCATATTTTGAAACCTTCTAGCCATACTGAGACCATTGGGTGACAAAATTTAGAGGTGTCCTTAATGCTACAACCATCAGGAACTGGACATTTTCCTGTTCTTTAGGAGGAAACTCAGCTGGGAGAAGATGAAAGAGGAGAATTACTTTGCTGCAGGATCAAGTTCTGCCTCATATTAGACCAGGTACTCTCCTACACATTCAAAATCAGGGAATATCTGTCTAAATTGAAACTCTAGGGTTTTTTAGGTGACCATGAGTTATGAGTAATCCTGGAGCATGCTCCACATACAGGAAGGAGTGGTTGTCACAACCTCTGGCTGCCTGGCTGAGGGAAGTAAATGAGAATCTTGTGTCAGGTTGCTACAATGGAAAGGCTGGAACTGCCCTCATCCTCTCCTACCACACCAGCTTCATCATTTCTTAAACAGAAAAAAAAATAAACAAGACCAACCCTTTTACACACTATGTAGCAATGTAACGCTGGGCAAGGCTAGGCCGGTTGAAACAAGCAGACTCGGGGTCACAGTTTCTTTGCTGACTGCAGAAGAGGGACAGTAGAGGGGCACAGCAGATGTTAAAGCCAGCCAGGTATAAGTGTGATCAGGTGCTTGTGCAACCCATTTCTGCAGCACTAGGTCCCAGTTAATAACTTCTGCCAAGGAGCCTAACCCATAGGCCAGGCCAAAAAAATAAAGCTATCTCATAGAGGAAACCTGGCAGGTAAGTGCATACAGCCCTGCACCGTGCCATGTAGACACTGGCTTTGAGCCTTCACTAACTGAAATACTATAGCTGTGTTTTGCAGAAAAAAATATGCTTGTTATAATTAAGAATATGGGATATATCAAAGGTCTCATTGGTAGCCAACGGAAATTCACTGTGGTGGGTAAAGTGTCTTAGATTTCTGTGCTATGTGGATGGAGCCAGGAACACAGGAAATGGTGTCTGACTATTCACGATTTACGGCCTGTTAGTGCTTGACACCTAAACCATTTTACCCAAGCCCAATATTATTTTTTACATGTTTTTCTTTTCATTATTGCCAGGCTGAACATTTCTTGTTTCAATTTATACCTGCTGTTTCCTGTCCTCCCACCAGCTACCACTGTGAAAAGCCTGGCTTTGTCTTCTTGAAGACTCCCTCACAGGTCCTGGCAGGCTGTTATCAGGTCCACTTGAATGCTGCTCCTTTAGCTCTCCCTCACATGGTTCTGACTTCTAACCATCCTTGGGGCCTCAGCAGAACTTGGCTCCAATTTTTCAATGCCTTTCGTGGAGGGGCTCAAAAGGACACAGTGTCTAGATGTGGTCTAACAGGTGCTGAGCAGGAGCATAATCCCTTCTCACAAGCTCCTGGCTGTGCTCCCTCTAGCACAGTACAGATGCTGTTACCATCTTTGCTGCCAGGGCACACTCCTGATGCATGGGCAGTGTGCTCTCTGCCAGGACCACCCAGAGCCTTTGCAGTAAAGCCAGTCAGCCCCAGCATGTATTGATGCAAGGGCTCAGCATTCCCAGGTGACGGAAACTTTCATTTGTCCTTGCTGAATTTCATGAGGTTCCTCTTGGCTCATTCCTCCAGCCTGCCTAGGTTCCTCTGTACGGTAGCACTGCCCACAGCATATTCACCGTTCCCTTCAGTTTGGTGTCATCTGCAAACCTGAGGAAAGTGGACTTCATCACCTCCTTGAGGTAACTGGTGAAGATGTTAAACAGGACATTTATAGCATCTAGATACCTGAGGCACTCTATTAGAAAAAAAGGTAAATGTTCTCTGGGTAGAGAATAGCTCATTTAACCATCCTCTTATGACCCAAATCACCCACAGACCATAAAATCCTAACTCAGATTTAAGAATGTCATTGAAGACAATGTCAAAAACCTTACTAAATTTGAGGTAAATGCAATCCACTGCTCTCCCCTCATCCGCAAATCCAGTCATAGAATCATAAGTACAATCAGGTGGTCAGGCATGATTTACCCTTGGGTAGATCTATGCTGATTGTTTCCAATCACCTTCTCCTTCATATGCCCAGAAATGTGCTTCAGGAGGGCCCACTCCTTAAAGTTCCATGGGGACTGAGGTGATGCTGATCAGTTTACAGTTCCCCAGATTGTCTTTGGCCTTTTTGAAGAAGGGTGCAACATTTACCTATTTCCAGTTATTAAGAACCTTCCACTACCTCCATTACTCTTCTGATTTGATAGAGTGGCTCTGCGGAGACGTCTAATCAGTATTTTTGGCACCTTGGACCACTACATGATCTGTGTGCTCCCATGGAGTTTTCTCGTCAAACTCTCTTAAGTAATCCCTGGTTAAACACTGGAAGTTCTCTTTGGACCCTTTCCCTAAGCACAGAGGAATGGCATATTTTGGTGGTAAAGATGGCAAATAAACCTTAGAGCATCTCCATTCTATCCATGTCTGCTGTCACTACATCACCTCCTCCATTCAGCAGTGGTTCCACGTATTCTTGCTCAGGCTTTTTATACTAACACAGCAGTGGAAGCTCTTCTTGCTGTGCTTCCCATGCAAGTCTCAAAGGCATTTAGGCTTTGGAGCCCCTGAGGCTACTCCTACAAACTCAGGCAATGCTTCTAAATTATTCCATTGTAGCCTGTTCCTGCTTCCATCCCCTCTATACTCCCCTTTTTGTACTGGAGTTCCACCAAGCTCCATGTTTAGCCACTTCAATCTTCTGATATATTTGATTGTGGATACACAGTGAATACAAGACAGCTGCTCAAGATCTTGGTACATCATAGCAGGAATATTTCAGCACACTTCCTGCTCTTTCTTGGACAGCCAGGAATTTATGATCTTCTATATTCTGAAGACTGTCACCTGACTCAGTGCAAGCATTATCATCCTGTTCTCCGCAGGCTCATAACACACTTAAGGCACAGATACCTGTGGTAAATATAATGTTTTAAAAACTCATTCTAATAAAAATTATCATAGAATCAATATATCCCATTAAGAAAACATTTTCTTCAAGCATTTCATGGGCTCACATGGGCATTCAGCAGTTCCATTTCTTTCCTTCTTTCTGAGTCTTTAACTACCTTTAATCACTTTAAAAAAAAAACCAAAAAAAAATGATTGAGCACCTAAAGCAATGGAATATGACATTCTTGACCACAGCCACAAGAATATGTAGACATCTCTATTTAGTTTCATATACAGTCTTGAATAGTATATTGCAGTTGTATCTCAGCTGACTGAAATGGTTAATGAACTGCAATTTGACACCACATACAATGATAAAAATAGTAAATGTCTCACAGAGAGAGGGATTAACATGGTTATTTGGAAAGCATTGCTCTAGATTGTCTTGATTTAATAAGTTTGCAGAGGTGTAGAAGCTGTGAATTGCTATTTCTTTTTTTCCTCTGTCTTTTGTCATTTATTGAAGTCACATGTAACCTACTCACAGGGGGAAAAAAAGAATGAACAAGATCAAAGCAGTAGCTTAATCTGGGTTTCTTTTATGCTTGTGTGGTAAGAGAGAACAGCAAACTCTAAAAGAATTCTCTGCCTACCTGCTGTGTGCAGCGTGCCCGACTGCAGACCCAGGGCCCCACCTGCTCCTGGCCTGGAAAGGTTTCTCCATGGGGATCTTTCAACACAGGAGGAAAAGTTTCACTTGATTGTCATTAGGTGGGTGGGACCGGTAACTCGCGTCACCCTGTTTTGCAGGCAGCAGCAGAGCAGCCTGCCAAAGCACAGTGTCTAACTACACAAAACTCCACGCCGGGGAAGTGTGTGAGGACACGTGCATTTCTGAGTTCTGAATCCCTATGGCCCTTAGTGCTTCACCTCAGCACCCTCAGTGCTATACCCATGCTTAAATCCATGGAGGTCCTGTGCCTAATCAAGTGCAGATCTGCAGATGATGGAGCTGTAAAGGGACTGTAGCTTCTCAGTGATGTGATGCAGTCCATCATGAGTGCATCTGCAGAGCCACGACCTTCACAGACAAGGCAATTTGATTACATATCTTCTCGTCACATTTGTCTTTTCTCATGTGCTTTACAAAATAGACATAACTTTATAAAAAGTAGCCAGATGCCAATCATTACTTTGATTTTATTGATGCAGACATAGTTCAATCCTTGAGAGTATAACAAATAAAAGTAATGTCTTTCTGGACACAGATTTCAGTCATGAATCCCCTGTTCGTTTTCTTCTCTTTCAAGTTTTTGCTATGTTACTAACCCTCAGCAGTGAATTGTCTAGCAAGAGAGGCTAATTTTCCCAACTTCATACAACAGAAGTCTTTATATCAGTTGCCCCACAGCATTGCCTGAGCACATGGAGCACTCTACTCTGGACAGGGTGGAAGTAGTAACAATGATGATCAGTCATTCAGTAGAAGGCTAAGTAAAAACGATGCAGAAAAATGTGAATACAGAGTTGGTAGATGCTTAGCATGTGAACTGATCAATTTATTTCCCCCTGTGAGATAGTTTATAGGTCCTGAAAATGCTTTAAAGTTTGTCAGAGGAAATCTAAAAGCTTGTCAATAAGTCCAACAAGAAACTTCAATTCAACAGCTCAGGAATACCAGAGCTTTCTGCAAGCTCACATATGCAAGAGAGAGCTTGCTCAGGACCTGAAGAAGCAAAAATACATTTTCTGCAAAACCAAGGACAAAGCAGAACACAAGTGATTCATATGATCTATTTCCAGATATGTAATTTAGTACATTGTTCCTCAAATGCAGCCATTTCTTTCCTGTTTGTA